AAAAAAAAAAGATTTTATTCTTTTACTTTTTATATTTGGAATTATAGTTCATTAAATGGGAATTAATGGTCTATGCCCACTGGAGACATTTAAAGAAGGAAAAGCAAGCCAGGTTGTTCTTGCCAAACCCCTCAATTAAGCTAAGGGCACTACATCTGAGTGCAAGAGAACCAGCTACAGGCCTAACTGTGCTCCTCAGTTGATTGGTAAACCACAACATGTTGCTTAATTTCTCAGGTTTTAACTAAGGCACCTTACTCATTCTCAAAGCCTTTAACCTATTATCTGTCAACCATACAGTCATGCACAACATAACAATGTTTCAGTCAACAATGCACCACATATACAACATTGGTCCCGTAATACAATGGAAATGAAAAATCCCTATGACTTAATGACATTGTGGCCAGTCATATAACAGTACAGCACATACATTTACGTATGGCATATAATAATAAACAACTACTGGTTTGTGTATTTGCTATAATTTTATCATTAGAGTACAGTGCTTCTATTTATAAAATATAGTGTAAAACAGCATGCCATGTTATGCCAATAGTAGCCTCAGACATTTCATTTCCCTGTCTCTTGACTGCATCATTTTCTCTTCTGCTTGATTTAATGCCCTGTTTTGTTCATTATGGCCCTAGGAGTAATAGGTTGTAATGTAAATATGCCATCTATATGCTAGGTATATAATACAATACCTAGCACATAGCCTAGGTGTATGCTAGGCTATACCACACAGGTTCATGAAAGAACACTTTCTCATGTCTGCACAACAATGAACCCCCCCCCCCAACCAATGACACATTTCTCAGAATGTGTCTCTGTCATTAAGCAACCTGATGACTGTATTGCAGATGAGGGAAAGGAAGGGTCTTTCTTTTAAGTCAGCTCTAATAATCTATAAACAACTCTGGAAAGTTTCTGGGATTCTGGGCCAGTGGAGTAGCCCTGGGATATAAGCTGTCCCTTGGCCCAGGGCAGCCTTCCTTCCTTCTAGTGAAACTCCTTGGGGGAGAGGGCACAGCACAAAGGAAGTGAAGAGAGGGCGCTTAGCTTCTAACATTCCCCTGCTGCTAACCCTCAGCGGGGACCCCCGCATTCATCCCCCTTGGGCCTGGCTTCTTTATTTGTAATCAGGAATAATAACAGAATCTAGATCACACACTGTTAAGAGTGTATTATTTGTAAGACATTGTAGCATTTGGTCCTACAATGACCTTGGAATAGGATGAAGTGTGTTCCCATCTATAGATAATAATACTGTTAATCAAAATGCAAAGCTTAGTTTCCAACAGCTCATAAAATATATTATCTTATTTTAATTCTAATAAGAAGGCAATGGAGAAATTTTCGGCTTTCATCGGCTTCTCAAAGGGAAACGTGTCCCCCAAAGACTTAAAGCCAGGTACTGGTCTCGCAGACACCCGGGCCTCCAGGACTGTTGGACTCCAGTAACGGTTGTGAACAAACCTTCAGACGCACGATTTATCTGACCACCTCCAGGCCGAGTTACGGGGAGGAACCCCCGCCCGGTCGGTTCCCGGTTTGGGAAACCCTGGGGCCCGGCGGAGACGCCCCAGCGCACCGCCTCCCGGCCCGACGGCCTCTCAGGGGCGGCCCGCGTATCCCGCCCGCCTCGGGCGAACTAGACCTCGCTGCCCGCGGGGCTCAGAGACATACCTGAGGAGTCCCCAAAGTCGGCGTTCAAACCAGAAGCCTCGCGCGGCGACCCCTCTCCAGCCCCTGTCACAAGCGGCCGCGGCTGGGGCTGGTCGCCCCACTCTCAGCCGCGCGCATGCGCATCTCTGTCCCGGACTCTACCACAGCGGAAAGAGGGGACAACGGCGCGGGGGAGACCCGACGCGTGCCTACGCGAGGCACCGGAAACTTCTGGTGGTCTCCCTTTGGTTTATCAAGTGGGTGATAGAAAGGAAATGTCTTACGGAGCTGTAAGGCGCCTGTGTCATACGACAAAGAGGAACAGCACTCACCCTCCCCACAAACACATTGGTCTGGTCGTCCGCGGGCGTCGCCTTGGTAACGGCGTCTCGCCGACTCCCGGGAGGCTCCCGGCGGTTCCATTGTTGTGGAAAAGGTGAAAGTAAGGACCGCGCCCGGTGTTGCCTGGAGAACGCCGAGACTCACAGTAGCAAAATGGGCCTCTCCCCGACTCCCTTCCACCCACTGCTCCCCACGGCCACAAAGCAAAGAGCGCCCCTTCTTGGTGGATGTAGGGCCGCGGTGCTGGTGCCAGGCACAACTTTGCTGGGTCCTTTGAGGGACCCGCGGGGAAACCCGCCCCAAGTTCCTTGGATTCCGCGGAAGCTTTTAGGTAAGACAATGGACAGGTGCATGATGACCCCACTGCGGCAGCCTCTCCCTGCTCCCYGACTCTCCTGGGCGGCCTCGGGTAAAGGGCACTGAGGCCCAGGGACCGCCGCGGAGTCTCCCAGTGAGCAAGGGGCAGAGAATTCGACAACTCCTCATCTCCAGGAGAACTAACAGCATTTATTTATTGGCACCATTTGGTAAATGAAAAAACTCTGGTCATTCAAGGAATATTTATTGGCTGCTTAGTGGATGTACCAGGTCATCCATGCAACTAGGGACAGGATCCAGAGGTGCAGTTCTCTCCAATTATGCCACGCTGCATTACAGAGCGGAGAGTTCTATGCCCTGGCACCAAAATCTGCACTGTTCAGACCAGAACTGTTCATTAAAAACATAGCAGGCCACATATGTAATTTTAAAATTTTAGTAATTACATTTTATAAAGTCAAAAGACCCCCCCCMAAAAAAAACAAGTAAAATTAATGTGAATATTTCAACCCCTTATGTCCATGATATTCTCATTGCAAATATAATCAATATTTTAAACTTTACACTGCTTTATTTTTGTTTTCATTTTGGTCCAGGGATGGAACCCTGGGTCACTCAACCACTGAGCCACACTCCCTGCCCTTTTTTGTATTTTATTTAGAGACATGGTCTCACTGAGTTGCTTAGGGCCTCGCTTTTGCTGAGGCTGGCTATGAACTCGCAATCCTCTTGTCTCAGCCTTTCAAGCCACTGGAGTTACAGGTGTTTGCCACTGGACCCAGCTAGTTTTTTAATTTAAATTAAGTAAAATTAAAATTTAGGGGCTGGGGATGTGGCTCAAGTGGTAGCGCGCTCGCCTGGCATGCGTGCGGCCGGGGTTCAATCCTCAGCACCACATACAAAAACAAAAGATGTTATGTCTGCCGAGAACTGGAAAATAAATATTAAAAAATTCTCTCTCTCTCTCCTCTCTCTCTCTCCCACTCTCTCTCCCAAAAAAAATTTAACTAGGCATGATGGTGCATGCCTGTAATTTTAATGGTTTGGAAGGCTGAGGCAGGAGGATGGCAAGTTGCAGGCCAGATTTGGAAATTTTGTGAGACTCTGTCTCAAAAATAAATAAATAAATAAATAAATAAATAAATAAATAAATAAATAAAAGGGCTGGAGATGTAACTCAGTGGTACCAAAAAAATTAATTAAATTAAAAAATGTTTTTGAATTTTTTTTTAATATTTATTTTTTTTTTTTAGTTCTTGGTGGACACAACACCTTTGTTGGTATGTGGTGCTGAGGATCGAACCCGGGCCRCACGCATGCCAGGCGAGCGCGCTACCACTTGAGCCACATCTCCAGCCCAATTAAATTAAAATTTAACTTTTTAGTCACACCAACCAAATTAAGGGCTCAATTGTCACATGTGACTAGAGGCTACTGTATGAGTAGCCTTTCAAACCTTGCTGCCCTATGTTTGGATGACAATTTCCTCTCSCTGTTATCTAATTAACTCCAGTTTCTTCTTTTGACAACTTGACTTCCTTGATTAGGTCAAAACTCTATTTAAGTTCTCTAGCACTGTGCAGTGCCTTTCTAAGCAATAGTGACAGTAGTAATTCATTTTAATTCATAATTATTTTTCATATATTATAATTAATTATGTAATCATTTGATTTTTACAAGTCTTCCCCAGTAGATATAACCCCCATTAGGATAGGGTTCAAGTCTGCTTTAGTTTCACCATTCTCTTCCCAGTAGGAGCACTCTGCTGGCTTTTGGCAGAATTGAGTAATTGAATGACTAAAAGTTAAAGTGAACAGGTCCAAGGTCAGCATTGTTTTTACATGCTAGAACATGTTAACTTTAAGTGGGATATTCACATCTCAGTGGCCAAGATGCACTGCTGCCTGGGGATAGAGCCCCTGACAGTGCTGGCCCTAGGACAGCTACTTAATGAATCTAGATTTGTTCCTCCTTCTCCTCCCCAAGTAGCAGGAAGCAAGAAAAGCTGGGAAAAGAGTGTGTATCTTAAACATTTCTCTAAGCAGCATGCTCTTCAATCCTCCCATTAGGCATGAGTGATAAGGTTAAGCTAAAGCAAGAGGCCTGTGTATGTACGTACTGTGTATGTGTGTATTGTGTATGTATGTATTGTGTGTGTGTGTGTGTGTGTGTGTGTGTGTGTGTGTGTGTATTGTCTGGAGATAGAACCCAGAACCTTAAAAAGGCTAGGCAAGCACTGTACCACTGGGCCACATCCCCAGCCCCAAAGCAGAAGGCTTTTTGACAGTGTCACCTAAGTCTGGCTTCTCTGAGAAGATGTTGCCATTTTCCAGTCCTGCTGGGGAATGGGTGGGAGGCAACTGAGAAACCCTACAATGTGGGTATCTCCTCTCACCCCTCTCCTCTTGGCCTGTATGGCTAAAGGCTGGGACCAGAAGGGAGCAACTATATTGTCCAGGGCCTGAGCTGGCCTTTCCAGCAGTCCTAGTGACTTGGGGCAGCCAAGACGGGTAGCCTTTTTGCACCAGAAAGAAGTGTGGGCATGAGTCTAAAAGAAATCAAACACTGCATGAACTGAACCATTGGCCTGACGGAGAAAGATGTAGAAGCAAATCATTCCCATCCAACATTCTAAGTRCTGTCATAAAGGATGAAAGTAGAAACCTGAGGGTCTCAAAGGAGATATGGTACTGGTGTCACCTGGGATGAGTCCAGTATGRAACAGCATATGCAGAAGCAGAGGGGCACAGAGGGTGCAGCATGCATGGCCAGGGACCAGAAAGGTGGCCAGTGGGCTGGGCGTATGGGATACATCACAGCTGGGGAGAAGCAGACGGCCTGAACCAGGAGAGAGGGAAGGAGAGTGTGGAAGGGCATCCAGGTTTATTTTCCCAACATACTTGACCTTTTCTCCCTAGTTCCATCTGTATGTTCTGCTTGAGGACAGGGTCTAAGTCTTGGGCTTCATTATAACCAGGTCTGTAACACTAGGCTCTGGATATGGAGGGCCCACAAATGGTGGCGATGGCCCCTTGGCCAAGAAACAAGGACTCAGGAGAGCAGGCAGCCTGGAAGAGTAGTGAGGAGACTAGTTTTCTGAGAGGGAGCAGAAAGCCCCAGGTAGATGGAGAGTCTGGTGCTGAGGAAATGGACCCAGTATCCTAGAATCACAGCATCTGAGATCTGGAAAGGGTGTTAGAGCCACTTAATCCAAATCTCCTCCTTTTTCAGTTGAGTCTCAGAGAGGCAAAGAGATTCAATTTCATTTCTAGTTTGGAAACCAACTTGCCTGGTGATCTGGAGCACTAAACTTTTTAGTGTTCTAGGCTTTTTATTTTAAGTGGAGAGAAGCACGGGCCTCAGCAGGTTGAAAGAACAATTGGGTGTACCTGGAGGTCCTCACTGAAGAGGGGCTTCCTGGACAGGCCTCCCCCGCCCCCACCCCGTTCACTTGTGTGGCGAGCCTGGCCAGCCGCCCTGCTGAGCAGGTGAGTGGGTCCATCTCCTCCTCCTGTGGTTTCTAAGATGGTTCTATGCTATTTGCTATTTGTGATTTCCAGGAGGATGACTGAACCAACAGCAAGATTGGAGTGGGAAATGACCAGCTTTTAAACGTGAAAACTCTTTGATAGCCAATTTACAAGAAATTGGACAATGGATTGTTCCAAGAAGATGGAGGTCATCAATGTCATCGCCTTACCCATGATACCAGTGGATGAGAAGCTGGTGGTTTCGCTCAGTGCGCAGAGTGCAAGGGCGAAGGCTGGGAGGAAGGACATTCAGGAGCACCGCCCCTGTATCCTCTGGTGGATCACCAGCAATCAGACCAGATGCACCCGAGTGCCACCACTGAGGAACAGTGTTACAGTCTTGGCATTCATCACTCGCTAGTCCACGCTAGTCACATCCGTTAGGTCATTAATTCTTTTTCTTTTCTTTTTTTCGGGGGGCGGGGTACTGGGGATTGAACCCAGGGGTGCTTTACCACTGAGCCTCGTCCCCAGCCCCTTTAGTTTTTATTTAGAGAAAGGGTTTCGCCAAATTGTTTAGGGCCTCASTAAGATGCTGAGGGTGGCTTTAAATTTGCAATCCTCTGCCTCAGCCTCCCAAGCTGCTGGGATTACAGGGGTGGGGCAYCGCACCCAGCAATTCATTAATTCTTAAGCCCTACCTAGCCTCTAAAAGAAGGTGAGACTGTGAAGGGTTGTTTGACCTGTGAGGTGGTTGTTGTTGTTGTTTTGTTTTTGTTCTTTTGTGGTAGTGGGGATTGAACCCAGGGGTGCTCTAGATATCTCCCCAGCCTTTTTTATTTTTCATTTTGAGACATAGTTTTGCTRAATTTCTGAGGYTGGCCTTGAACTTGCAATCTTCCTACCTTAGCCTCTCAAATAGCTGGGATTACAGCTGTGCACCACTGCACCTGTCTTGACTTGAAATGTTTAAAAAACTAATCAGAAAAAGCCCAGAAGGAAGGGTCCTGGATGTATTTGTTGAAAGAATAAGGAAGAAGAGGGAAAAGTCTAATTTTTCCCAGGGTCTCCTTTCCCTCTGTCTTCTAAGAAATAGTAGGCCAACCCTCCGTCTTCAGAYAAGTGACCTTTGGCCCAGCTTTCTGCCTCAGGTTGCCTTCACCTCTCCTCCACCCACCAGCCCTTCTGCCTTGGCTCCACATCTGCCCCTCTGGCATCCTCCAGGGTCTGCCAGCACCCATCTTCCCTGGTCCTGTCTTCCTTGATCCTCATCTCACTCCTGAACTGAGCCATCGCAGARCCCCCTCTTCTGGAGGACCACAGAGCCCATCCAGCAACTAGACCCTTCAGAGATTATAAATAACCCCCAGACTTTCCCACTCACACCTTCCAGTGCTGCGCGTGTCATCCCGCACCCCTCCCCTTCCAGCCCTCTCCAAAGCTCCTCAAGACGCAGCAGCAAGGTGGGAGCCCATGTGAATCTGCCCTGGGTTCTTGCTCTGCTGGGCCTCTTTCAAATTCCCCTTCCTTCTTCTTATCCCACACTCATCTCAACCTGAGCAATCCATTTCACTTATGGTTTGTCCTCTCCCTTCTTGGCATCTGCATTTTTCAATTGTTCTCCGATTGGTAAGAGCACTTCAGGGTAAAGGAGGTAAGAGAGCTTTATATGAGAGGAGAGAGAGGAGTGTGGCACTTTTCCAAAGGCTATCTCCTACACCAGCAGAGGCTCAGACAGGAAGAAATGCAAGAGTTAAGAGCGTAAGGAGGGGGCCGTAGAACTGAGCATATTTTAACTGTGATAAACAAGGTCAAGATACTCTGACCCAGTCATCCCTCACCTGAAAAATCCCTCTTAAATATTCCAAGATATAGAAACCGCTCTCTGCACGGCCCTGTGGCCTCGCAGCATTAGTTACTGATGTGGGAAAGAAGAGGCTGGACCCCTGAGGAATGTTCAGGGAGCAGGTTTATTGACTGTAGAGTCCAGAGAGGCTAAAACATTCTCTGGACCAAGGATTTGGAAAGTCTTTGAACTTTATACCCAGTGGGAGGAGGGGCTCGAAGATTTACAATTTTGTAGGAGTCTACATGACTGTATTATATTTTTTTCTTGAGTTCACAGAAAGTGCTTTTGTCCCACTTTTTAGATTAGTCAGAGAGTTTTACAACAAAAGCAGAAGTGATATCATCGAGTCTGTGGCCAAACTTAGTTTTTGCAAGCAGAATAACTTAGTCCTCACAAGAAATAGGAAGTCCTGTCCCACACTGAATTTTTTTGGTAGAAATTTTTGCTAATGTTCTATTATAAAGCTTTCCAACAAGAAGAGGAATTTATATGTTACAAATATCATGGGGGTTTCTGCTTAATTATGGTAAGGTTCTTCTGGGTGAGTGGGGTCTCTGGTCTGCTTCATTGTAACTGCAATAAGTTGTAAATAGTTTAAATATTCAATAGCTTAAATGTATTAAGGTGCAACCTTTAAGAGGATTAGTATATTATTGAACACAATTAGTATGAAGATTACTGTACAGAAAATGCCCCTAATAACAGCCGGAAAAGTCAGAGCAGTAAAACAGGCATCCACTGAGATTGTAATTATGTATGTAAAAAATAATGGAAGGAAATCTCCCCTGAGTCTAACAGAATCGTTAGCCTGGTGGCATTACAAATGGTTCTTTGCTCTTTTTTTGTATTTCCCAAGGTGTCTGCAATATGGTCAGCTTTCATTTATACTCAGAAAGCAATTCCCTTAAGATGAAAAGGTGTGATGGGGCTTGGGGTGTAGCTCATACTTACCTAGCATGTGCAAAATCTAGATTCCATCCCCCAGGAAAAGTGTGCATATTTGCAGAGAAAATAACTGGAGTGACAGGGCTGCCCTCTTTGCCAGGCAAGCCCCACCTTCTTGTGGGTGATTACTGCTTGGAGACTTTCCTTAGCTGCCTCACCTCCCAGCCTGCCTAATTGGCTCCATGCTCCAGGTGCATCAGAAGATTGGGAATATGGACCTAGAGCACAGCCCGATGACTGACAGTCTGGTGAGTTTTAGGTCCTAGAGCTGAGGCAAGGATTCGGGGGGGCGGGGGGTCATCAAGATGTTGCAGTGCCCTGCATGCTCCTCCACATTTTTGAAAATATGTGAATATTTGAAAGTTTGTTTTGCACAAATTTTTAAATTTAATAGAGCCAGACATGGGGTGGCACACTCCTGTAATCCCAGCAGCTCAGGAGGCTGAGGCAGAGGAGGATCAAGAGTTCAAAGCCAGCCTCAGCAATTTAGTGAGGTTGTACATAACCTAATGAGACCATGTCTCGAAATAAAAAAAATAAAAAAGTCTGAGGATGTGGCTCAGTGGTTAAGTGCCCCTGGGTTCAATCCCTGGTATAATAATAATGATAATAGACTTTCTAAACAAAGTTTGACATTCACAGAAAATTTGAATGGAAAGTAGTTTCTCCATATATCCCCAATCCCCAGCACACAATCTCCCTGAGGATTCCACACCTCAGTTGTTACAATCCATGAACCTGCATTGACACACTGTTACCACTCAGCATCCCTGGTTGACACGGGGTTCATTCTGGGGTTGCACATTCTGTGGGTTTGGACACATATGACCTGCATCTCCCATTGTACCTGTAGAATAGTTTCACTGGCCTAAAACTTCTCTGGGCTCTGTGTGTTCATGTCTCCCTACCCTTAACCTCTGGCTACCACTGATGTTTTTTACTGTCTTTGTAGTTGTACTTTTTCTTTTTTTAATTTTAATTTTTTGGGGTTTTAAATTTTTTTAAATTTGTTCTAATTAGTTATTATGACAGAAGAATGCATTTTTGACACATTGACACAACAGAGCACAACTTCTCATTCTTCTGGCTGTACATGGTACAGAGTCACTCCAGAAGTGTAATCATACATGTATATAGGGTAATAATGCCTGTCTCATTCTACCATCCTTCATGTATCCTTAGCCCTTCCTTTCCCCTCACTTCCCTCTACACAATCCATTGGTTCCTTCTTTCTTCCCTACACCCTCCCCTCCATGGATCAGCATCCGCTTATCAGAGAAAACATTTGGGCTTTGTTTTTTTGGGATTAGCTTATTTCACTTAGCATGATATTCTCTAGTTCCATCCATTTACCTGCAAATGCCATAATTTGATTCTTCTTTAAGGCTGAGTAATATTCCATTGTGTATATGTACCACATTTTCTTTATCCATTCATCTGTTGACAGACATCTAGGTTGGTTCCATAGTTTAGCTATTGTGAATTAAGCTGCCAAAAACATTGATGTGGCTGTGTCACTGTAGTATGTTGTCTTTAAATCCTTTAGCTATAAACCGGTGAGTGGGATGACTGGGTCAAATGGTGGTCCCATTCCAAGTTTTCTGAGTAATCTCCATATTGCTTTCCATAGTGATTGCACCAGTTTTTTAATCCCACTAGCAATCTATGAGTGTACCCTTTCCCCCCACATCCTCACCAACACTTATTATTGCTTATAATTTTGATAATTGCCATTCTAACTGGAGTGAGGTGAAATCTCAGTGTAGTTTTGATTTGCTTTTCTCTAATTGCTAGAGATAATGAACATCTTTTCATGTTGGTTGATTGCATTTCTTCTTCTGTGAAATGTCTGTTCAGTTCCTCAGCCCATTTATTGATTTGTAGTTTTACTTTTTCCAGAATGTCATAGAATTGGGATCATACAATATATAGCTTTTTCAGATGGGCTTTCCTCACTTAGTAACATGAATTTGAATTTCTCTTCTTGTCTTTTCATGGTTTGGTAGCTTATTTCTTTAGTGTTCAGTAATATTCAATTGGTTGGGTATACCATAGTTTATTTATCCACTCACTTACTTGGGGCATCTTAATTGCTTCAAAGCTTTGGCAATTATGAATAAAGCTATTAAAAACAGCCCTGTGTAGGGTTTTATGGAAGTGGATATCAGTTTTCAGCTTCTTTGGTAAATACCAAGGAGCAGAATAGCTGGATCTTGTGGTAAGAGAATGTTTAGTTTTGTTAGAAACTACCAAACTCTCTTCCAAAGTGATTGTACTATTTTGTCCTCCCACCACTGATGAGTGAGAGTTCYTGTTGCTCCATCTACTCACCAACATTTGATGGTGTCAGTGTCCTGGATTTTGGCCATTCAAATTGGTATGTTTTAATTTGCATTTCTTTGATGACATGTGATGTGGATCATATGCTTGTTAACCTTCTGTTTATCTTCTTTGATGAGGCATCTGTTAAGGTCTTAGGTCCAATTTTTAATGGAGTTATTTGTTTTCTTAACCACTGAGTTTTAAGAGCTTTTTGTGTATTTTGATCAACAGTTCTTTATTAGACATGTCTTTTGCAAATATTTTCTTCCAGTCTGTGACTTGTCACTTCATTGTCTTAACAGTGTCTTTGGCAGAGCAGAAATTTTTGATTTTAATGAAGTCCAGCTTTCCTCCTTTCATGGATTGTGCCTTTGGTATCATATCTAAAAAGTCATCACCAGGACCAAGGTCAGGTTTTCTCCTGTGTTATTCTTTAAGGGCTTTACAGATTTGCATTTTACATTTAGGATTGTGATTCACTTGGAGTTAATTTTTGTGACATCTGGAGTTCTTAACTCAAGAGTTGTGTACACTGAGTCTTCAGCAATTCATCAATGGTAGGCTAGGTTTTTCAGCTGGTTCATGTGCAAGTTTCTGCTCCTGGTTATGATTATCTGCATCTGCTTGTCACCCTCCCAACTGAGGAGGGTGCCCTGTGACTTTGATTCTCTGACAGGTCTAAGAAAAGTCGACTTTTCAGCTTTTTACTTATGAGGATATAGTGGTAGTTTCTGAGCTCCTTAAGTGTTGGACCATAAACTGGAAGTCTGAGGGTTAATTTTGATGCATTTTTATAAAAAAAAAAAAAGTAAAACAAGCCCTCCAATAATCCCTGTCTCTGTGTGTCTGTCTGTCTGTCTCTCTCATTCTCTCTCTCTCACACAGCTTGTGGGAGGCAGGCATCTGAAGGTTCGCTGCGCAGCCGGGTGTGGCTGAGCCCCTGTGAGAGGAAGAACACAGGCTTGAGTCCCCTGCCCGTGCCTTTTGGCTGTCTTTCTGTTTGGTACCAGTATGTGTTTGACTTTTGTTTTCAACTGAACTTAAGAACTCTGGAGCTTATGAAGAATATTTGAAAATGAGAGTAACAAAGCAGTGTCACCTGTCGGAGTTGTACCAAGGACCTGCCCCTCCGCGGAGTCGGGTGGGTCATTCAGAGTGGGCTCCGGGGCTGCCCGGATTGTTCACGGGCCTCCCTGGGCACCTGCGGCSACGAGGAGGGGGATGGGAACGATGAAGACTTACTCTGGGGGCGCCGGATGCTGCRGATGCTGCGGGCAAGTCCTGGCTCTAACTGCAGGATTCCCGTCCACACGGAGGTCACTCACCTGCAGTCTGGGCCCCCGCTCTGGGCTTCCCTGTTTTCATTGTTCTGCACCCGGGGCCGAGCGGCCTCAAGGTCAGTCCTGCGCTGGCCGAGCAGAGTGCGCCCTCTCAGGTGGCCTGTGTCCCGCTGCTCCCTATTCTTCACACAGGTCTATTTGGCCTGCTTTCCAGTGTCTCCGGGCTCAGTGAGAGGGACTCCACGTGAAAGCCCAGGCCATCTGTTGGTAGTGCCCTTCTGTAGTTCAAGAGGAGAAGCTCTGTGTGTCCTGGTCCTCACTGGGGACCCGGTGCTGTCCC